ATTTAAAAGCAATCATCTCCAGTTTAAGATTATTTCAATTTGAAATCTGAGCTCATTTTTCTCCACTCCCGAAAAAGGCAGAAATTGTGTGATTAATGAATGAGTGTCTTTTGTATGAAGAACTGATAAAGTAATCAGAGTGGTGACACCTGGGAGAGCGTTTGAGGCCAATTTAATGCATGAAAAACTGTCTGTGATTACTCTGATGCGTTCATCTAATTCAAAATGTATTTTCAAAAATACACATTTGACCCAGTACAAAATGGTCTTATTTTACATCTCATAAACTATACTCATTTGTGCAATAAGGAAGCAAGTACTCCAACGTCCTAACTTGTACATGGTCACTGATACTTACTATCAAAGAAAAACGGAAACTTTATTTAATCACTATTCCCTACAGTGCTACACCTCTACAGTAACTCAACCCCATCCCCCCACAACCTACTCCAAAGATTTGAAACCGTTCACGGGGGCAAGAGCTCAAATTTCATTCCCTTTCCCGTTTCCATTGATCTACATGCCAAATGTTGGACATCAGCTGTGAGAGGCAGATAAAAGAGTATCCTCTGTGTCACCTCTACCTTTATCAGTCATCACAACAGTGGCACCGGATGCTCACTGATAAGATAAAAAAACCTGACTGGCCAGCATGAAGCCATGAATATCTCTGACCCCCAACATTCTCCAAAAACACCAAAACATTTTTTTTTTGGAACATTCATTTAAAATTTTCAGAATAAGAATGTTCTAATTCATATTAATGTGGTAATGTTTGTATAAATGAAAGTGCATGACAACTTTTTTTTGTTGTATTCTATTCTTACTTGAATTGGTTTTAGACCATTAGATGTGATGTTATAGTGCCACTGATAGACTGGACAGGACAGCAGCTGCCTTTGGTTTTAGACTCAGCCACGGATTTCCACTGAATTTTACATTTAAATGTGGCCTTTTCCCAATTATTCAGTTATAAGGTAACAACTGTACCTGTTTTCCATGCTGGAAGAACTCCTAATTTCTGCTTTCCAGCGCCGGTGTCTGCGATGAGAGTGGCTCCCTGCCCTGAAGGGTAACCAACAGAGACAAATGCAAGAAATTAACTCTCACCCAAATTTTATGCTATTTTGTGCTGGGACAGCAACATCAAGATTCAAATTTCCATTACACCTCTTATAATATCATGGGAGTGATAGAGAAAGAAAGAGAGAGCAAGCAGTAGGGCTGTGGTTTGTTGGGGGGGGGGGTGGGGGGGGCTTGGGGTCACTGTGGTGGGGAGGATGTGTGGGTTGTTTCCAGTCCCCGAATCCAGCCCAGAGTGGGCTCCAGTTCCTGAGTATAGCCCACGGAGGGCTCCTGTTCCCAAGTTTAGCCCACGGAGGGCTCCAGTTCCTGAGTATAGCCCACGGAGGACTCCAGTTCCCGATTATAGCCCACGGAGGGCTCCTGTTCCCGAGTATAGCCCCCGGAGGGCTCTAGTTCCCGAGTAAAGCCCACGGAGGATCCGCCATGGCAACCTGAACTGTCCGCTCCGCCATGGCAACCTGAACTGTCCGCTCCGCCATGGCAACCTGAACTGTCCGCTCCGCCTTGGAACCCGGATCCGGTACCGCTTTGGAGGCGTCTGGTCCAAGCCTGTCCTGAGGGACCTCCAGGGTGTCCATCCTCCCACCCCTCGATGTTATGTGGCACGAGGTCGGATCTTTCAGAGGGGGGCGATATCTGTCACATGTTTGTTTCAGTTTAGTTCCTGTTTGCCCCTATTTGGTTCAGTTCATGTTCTCATTTAGTTAATCATAGTTTATTCTGTTCACATGTTTTGATTGATTACTCCTCACTCCTCACCTGTTTCTGTTCTTCCTGATTACGTTCCATGTGTTTATAAGCCCAGTGTTTTCCTCAGTTCTCTTGTCTTGGGTTAAAGTTACGTTGTGGAGCTTTTATCCTATGATCGTCAGTGATTACCCTCTTGGATTGTTAATAAAAACTCACCTTTGGATTTCCCCTTCACTGTGTGCCTCATCTACCCACATCGTGACACCTAGCAAGAGTTAGGGCTTTTTGTGTGAATGTCTCTGAAGTGTTATAATTTAAGGGGGCACATGTAAAACAGTGTTAATTGAGTCTGAAATGGAGACAGTTTAGTCACATGTTCAGCAGTTGAGTGCAGATTCACATCAGATTGGAGAACGATTTCAATTAAAGTTTAAAATTGAATTTAGCTGCCCAACAAACTATACATTAAGAAAGAGCAGACCATGTTTAATAGATTGAGATTAATTAATACACTTTAACGAGTTAGTTTGCCCATATAATCTTAAGGAAATTGTGTGTAAACTTATTTGGCATGCTGTCCACTGATGAGGGGCTCGGTGAAGCAGCTTCAACTCAAGCTCTGATATACCCCCCAGGGACTTGATATAGGATGATTACAAAGGGCAAGGTACCTAAGATGAAGGTGGAGATTTGGGGAGCTGGAGGGATGCTGGAACAGCTGAGACTAGAGAGAGGTAAGCAGCTGCTTATATACTCTAGCTGTTGACTGAAAGAATAGATGGGCCCGCTCCTCCCTAACTTACGTTAAGGAACTTCATTTGAACAGCAGCTTTTATAGCTAATACATTCCAGTAAGCAGGGCCGTTTCTAGCCAATTTGACGCCATAGGCGAAATCCCTAT